TCTCATCATGGTGCTAAGCCTCAAAATCTTTGCATGAACCCTGCAGTCTGGGACTTTTAACTGGCACTGGGCATTAACCAATGGTCTTTCATGGCCTCTCACAGTGACAAGTGTCTGCTGTTTTCCATGACCTCTTCACATTTTCACCATCAATATTACCTGGGTGAATCTTACACATTACCAAGTCTGGCTGCCAGCATGAGTTACAACCATGACTGCCTCTGGAATACAGTTTCACTGTGCTCTCAGGAAACACTTCCAAGATGATTTCAGCTCAATCATTATGGTCTCAACTTAATCACCGCTAATTATTTAGCTCCAGTAAACTAACATCAATTGTCCCATGAAAAGGAAAATTTGTATTTAGTAGTCAAGTATCCTGGTAATCACAGTCAATTCCTCACTCCCACCTATCCATAATCATAGAACTTTAATGAAAATTGACAAATACCACTGGTACATAATTTCATCTTGCATCTAAGCTTTAACAAGCCAGGGTAGAGACTTTAATCTTCCTTGTGAATTTTCACAAACAAAAAACAAACAAACAAAACAAAACAAAAAGCATATATTGAAAGTATAACAATGAAAAATTTTTTGAAAGAGGGTTTCTTGTGGAGCTTTGGAGTTTGTCCTAGAACTATATCTTGTAGATCAGGCAGTTCTGAACTGAAAGAAACCTGCCAGACTATGTCTCCTGAGTGCTGGGATTAAAGGCATGCAATACCACCTTCCAGCAGATGAAAACATCTTAATATTGTGTGAAGAGAAAAATCAGTGATGGGACATGGATAAAATTCTATTATCTCTGTCTATTAATTTTCAAATAGCATCTTCAAATACCCACAATAGGAACATTCTGATAGTATCTTCAGTGGAATTCTCTAGAAATATTTTGACTGAAATAGAATCTGGCAAATCCAGTTTCATGTCCTGTTTCTACCATCACTTGATCCCCTCCCCACCCCTGCCTCAGTCCTGCTAACAGACTTGGAACCACTGCTACTGTCTCCTCTCTTCACCACCATATGGAACCTTCTCAAAAATTGTCCACATACTTGTCAACATATCAAACTTCAGCAGCTACAAAAAATTGGAATAAATCCATGCATCTTATCAGACCACCATGCTTTAAAATTACAATTCAACAACACAAATTGCAGAAACCCTACAAACTCATGGAAATTGAATAATGCACCATGGCACCATTCCTAGGTCAAAGAAGAAAAAAAAAAGAAATTAAAGGATTCCTAGAATTCAATGAGAATGAAGACACAACATACCTAAACCTATGGGATATTTTGAAAGCAGTGCTATGGGGGGAAGTTCATAGCACTAAGTGATGACATGAAGAAACTGGAGAATAGTTATATTACAGAATTAACAGCACAGCCGAATGCTCTAGAACACAAAGAAGCAAACTCCCCAGGAGGAGTAGATGACAGGAAATAATCAAATTGAGGGCTGAAATCAATAAAGTAGAAACTAGGAAAACAATACAAAGAATCAATGCAATGAAGAGTTGGTTCTTTGAGAAAATCAACAAGATAGACAAACCTTTGTCCAAAACTACCAAACAGCAGAGTGTAAACATGCAAATTAACAAAATCAGAATTGAAAAGGGGGTCATAACAATGGACTCTAAGGAAATTCAGAGAATCATTAGGGCATACTTTGAAAACCTGTACTTCACAAAAATTTGAAAATATAAAGAAATGGACAATTTTCTGGATCACTTGCCAAAATTAAACCAAGTCCTGTGCATTTGTCAATAAAGCACTGCCTGGCCAATAGGGAATCTAGATAGGTGGGACTAGGAGTCCAGGAGGACTCTAGGTAGGAGAAACACAAGGAGTCGAGATGTAACACCATCGGGTAGGAAGCCCGGAAACTTCTCCGGTAAGAGACATACTTAGATTAACAATTATGGGGTAATTACTTAAATCAGAGCTAGCCAGTAAGAAACAAGCAAGGCCAATAGCTTCATAATTAATATAGCCTCCTGTGTGTTTATTTGGGACTGATACGGCTCTAGAACCAGGCTGGCGGGAAGGCTTCTCTCAAGAAAAAAGCTTCTCTTTACAAAATAGACCTATAACCCCTATGGATATAGAAGCAGTCATCAAAAGACTACAAACAAACAAACAAACCAAAAAAGACAAAGGCACAGGTACAGATGGGCTCAGTGCAGAATTCGACCAGAAATTTAAAGAGCAGCTTATACCAATTCTTCTCAAAATATTCAATGCAATAGAAGCAGAAGAGTCTTTGCCCAATTCTTTCTACGAGTCTTCAATAACCTTGATCCCCAAGCCACACATAGACACAAGTAAGAAAGAGAACTTCAGACCAATATCCCTTATAAACATTGATGCAAAAATAATCAAATACTGACAAATCGATTCCAACAACACATCAAAACAAACATTCACCACGATCAAGTAGGTTTCATCCCAGGGATGCATGGATGGTACAACATATGAAAATCCATCAATGTAATCCACCATGTAAACAAACTGAAAAAGAAACATCACATAATCATCTCACTACATGCTGAAAACGCCTTTGACAAAATCCAACACCCCTTCATGATAAAGGTCTTGGAGAGATCTGGGATAACAGGAGCATATGTAAACATAATAAAAGCTATATACATCAAACCACCAGCCAACATCAAACTAAATGGACAAAAAAATCAATGCAATTCTGCTCAAATCAGAAACAAGACAATCTGCCCACTCTCTCCATACCATTTCAATATTGTACTTGAAGTTCTAGCCAGAGCCATACAAAAGGAGATCAGGGGGATACAAATTGGAAAGGAATAAGTCAAACTTTCACTATTTGCAGATGATATGATAGTTTAGATAAATGACCCAAAGAACTCTACCGGGGAACTCTTACTGCTGATTAACACCTTCAGAAAAGTGGCAGGCTACAAGATCAACTCAAGAAAATCAGTAGCCCTACTATATACAGATAATAAAAGGGCTGAGAAAGAAATCAGAGAAACATCACCCTTTACAATTGCCACAAACAACATAAAACACCTTGAGGTAATGCTAACCAAACAAGTGAAAGACCTGTATTGTAAGAACTTTGAGGCTATAAGTAAGATATTAAAGAAGCCCTCAGAAAATGGAAAGATATCCCATGCTCTTGAATAGGTAGGATCGATGTAGTAAAAATGGCAATCCTGCCAAAAGCAATCTACAGATTTAATGCAATCCCCATTCAAATCCCAGCACAATTCTTCATAGACCTTGAAAGAACAATAATCAATGTTGTATGGAAAAACAAAAGACCCAGGATAGCCAAAACAACTCTGTTCAACAAGGCAACATCCGGAGGCACCACCATCCCTGACTACAAGCTCAATTATAGAGCTATAGTCCTGAAAACAGCTTATATACAGCACAAAAATAGACAGGTAGACCAATTGAATCAAACTGAAAACCCTGAGACAACTTCCTAAACATACCACTAGTAGCACAGATAGTGAGATCAACAATTAATCAATGGGACCTCCTGAAACTTAGAAGCTTCTATAAGGCAAAGCACAGAGTCATCAAGACAAAAAGGCAGCCCACAGAATGAAAAAAAATATTCACTATCCCGACATCAGAAAGAGGGCTGGCTGATCTCCAAAATTTACAAACAACTCAAGAAGCAAGTCTCCAAAACACCAAAGGATCCAATTAAAAGGTGGGCTACAGAACTAAATAGAGAATTTTTGATAGAAGAGTCTAAAATTGCTGAGAGGCACTTGAGAAAGTACTCAACATCCTTAGCCATCCGGAAATACAAATCAAAACAACTGAGATACCATCTCACTCCTGTCAGAATGGCTAAAACCAAAAACATCAACAACACTTTATGCTGGAGAGGTTGTGGTGAAAGGGGAACACTCCTTCACTGCTTGTGGGAGTGCCAACTTGTACAGCCACTTTGGAAATCAGTATGGAGATTCCTCAGATAAATGGTAATAAACCAGCCACAAGACCCAGCAACTCCACTCTTAGGCATATATCCAAAAGATGCACATTCATACAACCAGGACATCTGTTCCACTATGTTTATAGCAGCATTATTTGTAAGAGCCAGAATTTAGAGGCAACCTAGATGCCCCTCAAGTGAAGAGTGGTTACAGAAAATGTGGTACATTTACACAGTGGAGGACTATTCAGCAGAAAAAAATGGAATCCTGAAATTTACAGGCAAATGGATGGCACTAGAAGAAACCATCCTGAGCGAGGTAACCCAGTCACAAAAAGAGAAACATGGCATGTACTCTCTCATATATGGATTTTAGACATAGACCTGGGGAGTGCCAGCCTACAATCCCATGGCCAGAGAGTCTGGGGAACAGAACCTTCATTCAATGGCTGATGGAACAAGAGGCAGACTCCCACAGGTAAGCAATGAGCTGAACTCAAGAAATACAGTGACAGAGAGGGAGGACTGATGACCAAATGGGTAAAGACTCGAATGGTTTAAGCCCCAGAAACAGCTGACCTGAAAAGGGTTAGCTATGGAATCCGAGACTGATGCCTAGGAACCCAACAAGGGACTGATCAAGACCCCCTGAATGGGGTGTCAGTGAAGAAGCCTAGATAATCTATTGAGCCTTGGGTAGTAGATCAGTATTTATCCCGGGTACACCAATGGACTTTGGATTCCCATCCAACAATGAGAGATGCACTGTCACTCTGAACTCTTGGGGGAAGGTAGGCCCTGCTCTTGATGAACTGACAGACTATGGACACCTGCATGGAGGTTCTCACCCTCCGTGCGGGAATAAGGGTATATTGGGGGATGGGGAGTTGGTGGGAGCTCACAGGACAAGGGGAGGGAAACAGAGAGACCTGGAATTGACATGTGAAGCATTCTTGTTTCTAATTTAAATTATATACACACACACAAACACACACACACACACACACACACACACATATAAAGAAACAAAAAGGAAAAATCTAACCAAGTACAAGATGCACATGTAAGATGGAAGCCTGGATTTATTGAACGAACTGAGGGCAGCAAATCAGACAAATTTTCATTTACATGCACTAGAACATGTTATTGCTAAAATCACAATGGTAAACTTTAGGTAATTAACACAAATGCCACAACCTTGATGTTCCAGATGACATAAGGTGACATATTTCCATCCAGAAACAAGAAAGGCATAATATCTCAGTTATTAAAATCATTTAAAATATGTTGCACTGTATCTTAGGAACCCTTGTGAAAGGGTCTTTGAATCCTAAAGGAGTCACAGACGACAGGCTCAGAACTGCTATGCTATTATCAAGCTCTTGTTTTCAACAAATTTGGAGAAACAAATACTGAGTTGGGCACATGTTTGTGAAATACAACTCCTGGGGAGGTACAACATGCACGTTCATCTAATTGCCCCATCTGAAAATGTAAACAAAGTGAAGTTCAACTCGTTGAACTAAATGCTTTATTAGAATTGAGTACACGAATATGGGGAAGCAGTTGCTTACCAGAGTATAAGGGACTTAAACACAGTTGCTATCATGGAAGTCAAAACCAGCTATGGAACAGCTTATGAATAATGCACAGCTGAAACACACTGCATACCTGTAAGCATATGAACAAGATAAAGATAATACTTTCTTAGGGCTTAGGTTATTCTTTTAAGGGTTATGACATCTCTCAGCTTCTTCATTTGAGTTAGATACATTGAATCCTGTCAGTGCTGGAGAGTTATTGAGGCTGTTTTGTGTGTTGTGGGTCCTGCCCTAATCAGCTTTCCTTCTGAATGGATCATTATAGTCTTCAGCACATTTACACAACAACGCGTACGTCAGAATTCTGCGTTTCATCTTCATTAAGAACTATTTGAGATTGAACAAATAAAGTTTCAATCAAAATTGTCAAAGTATCAATGCTTTCTAAGATTTGAAAATAACTTAAAATTCTTTCCCAAAGTTGTCATGTTCATGATTCCGTAGTGTGGAGTCTCAAGTGTAGCAAAGGACACAGTTTGATTGAAGCACATGCCAATTTTTCCCCACTGAAACTTTTATCTCTGTTATGAATTTTGACAAACGTTCTTAGACCTGAGAGGCTAGTAACGTCTTTTGCATGTATATTACATCTTATATTTTTCACTCCTGTGTGAATACTTGGATGTATTACAAACATTATTTTTAGACAAACATTTCTCAGGTTGAGTTTTCTGGTGGATGATATACTTAAAACTTGAGTTTCATGCTGTGATGAAATATTCCAGAACATATTCTAAGAACTGGAAACAACACTAAAGGATTTCTCAAATTTGTTACATTTGTAAGTTGTTTCTATATATTATCTGGTGATTTCTTAGATAGCCTTTTCTGCTAAATGATTTGTACACTCACTATATTTGTAATGTTTCTCTCCTGTGTGGATTCTCTGATGAGCTATAAGATGGTCTCTTCTGTTAAAGAATTTGACACATTCACTAAAATTGTAAGTTTTCTCTCCTGTGTGAATTCTCTGATGAGTTATAAGAATTTGTTTTCTGGTTAAGGATTTGTCACATTCACTATATTTGTAAGGCTTCTCTCCTGTGAGGATTCTCTGATGAATTCTAAGATTGTCTTTCTCAGAAAGGGTTTTTCACATTCACTATATTTGTATGGTTTCACTAATGTGTGGATTCTCTGATGAGTTCTACCATGGACTATTTTGGTAAAGGATTTGTCACATTCACTACATTTGTAGGGTTTCTCTCCTGTGTGAATTCTATGATGAGTTATAAGACTTCGTTTCTGGTTAAGGATTTGTCACATTCACTACATTTGTAAGGTTTCTCTCCTGTGTGGTTTCCCTGGTGACTTTTAAGACAGTCTTTTGTGTTAATGACTGATCACATTCATTACATTGTTAAGTATTCTCTCCTGTGTGAATTCTCAAATGAGGTGTAAGATAGAATTTCCTGGAAAAGGATTTGTCACATTCAGGGCATTTGTAAGGCTTCTCTCCAGTGTGTAATCTCTGATGAGTTGTAAGATGGCATTTCTTGAAAAAGGATTTTTCACATTCACTACATTTGTAAGGTTTATCACCTGTGTGGATTTTCTGATGAGCTCTAAGATTGTCTTTTGTGTTAAAGGATTTGCCACATACACTACATTCGTAAGGTTTCTCTCCTGTGTGGATTCTCTGATGAGCTCTAAGATAGTCTTTTGTGTTAAAGGATTTGCCACATTCACTACATTTGTAAGGTTTCTCTCCTGTGTGAATTCTCCGATGAGCTCGAAGATAGTCTTTTGTGTTAAAGGATTTGCCACATTCACTACATTTGTAAGGTTTCTCTCCTGTGTGGATTCTCTTATGAGTTCTAAGATAATCTTTTCTGTTAAAGGATTTGTCACATTCACTACATTTGTAAGGTTTCTCTCCTGTATGGATTCTCAGATGAGTTGTAAGATAGCATCTCATTGAAAAGGATTTGTCACATTCACTACATTTGTAAGGTTTCTCTCCTTTGTGCATTCTGTGATGAGCTTCAAGATAGTCTTTCCTGATAAAGGATTTCCCACATTCACTACATTTGTAAGGTTTCTCTCCTGTGTGGATTCTCTGATGAGTTATGAGATTATATTTCTGAGTGAAATATTTTTCACATTCACTACATTTGTAAGGCTTCTCTCCTGTGTGGACTCTCTGATGAGTTGTAAGATACCATTTCTTGGAAAAGGATTTCTCACATTCACTACATTTGTAAGGTTCCTCTCCTGTGTGGAATCTCTGATGAGTTGTAAGATGGTATTTCATGAAAAAGGATTTATCACATTCACTACATTTGTAAGGTTTCTCTCCTGTGTGGATTCTCTGATGAGTTGTAAGATTACATTTCTCAGTGAAAGATTTGTCACATTCACTATATTTGTAAGATTTCTCTCGGATGTGGATGTTGAAATTTCTTTCAAACTTTGATAAATAATTAAAACACTTACCATACTGTGTACATTTGTCGGGATTTTCTCTACAATGGATTTTATAATATGTAGTGAGTTGTGAAAAATGTAGAAATAATTTACTACATTTTCTACATGTATAGGGTTTCTCTCTAGTATGAGATCTCTGATGCCTAATAAGGTTTGAGTGAGTCTTGAAGAATTCACATTGCATGCACTGATGTGGATGCTCTCCCCAATCAGTTTCTTTAAATTTGGTTTCTGTATTGTACTCAAAAGATGCATCATATTCTGCATTTTTGTAGTCTTCCTTTCCTATGTGAGTTCTTTGATTTTGGCTAAAGATGGAACACAAATACAAAAACTTTACACAATCTTCATATTTACAATATTCTTCCCCAGCATTTCCAATGTTGTGTCTGTTGAGGTTTAAGGTTTCATTGCAGGCATCTCTTTGGTTACCAAATCTGGACTTGTTGACATTTTTGGCAGTATCCATTGTGTCAAAAGGTGTACATTGGCAGGATTCAGGAATCACTATGCCAGACTCATTACATGTATGAGACTTCTCTTGAATATTTTCACGGTCATGGACAAAATGCTTTGTGCCTTGGTGCAAGACTGTCTCCCATTTGCAACCTAAGCGATGGAACTCTGAAAAATTAGTACAATTGTGAATAATAGTACTTAATGCATGAGTAACTGATTCAATTTCTGATGTTATCTTAGGTTTTCTATGACATATAAACTAGTAACTTTCAGGGACAGCACTCTTAATAGAGGACTTCTCTGTTTAACAATCAATAAATGGATGTTCAGAATCTCCAATTTGATCTACAGCAAATCACAGTAACCAATAATGGCCTACTCATTGTTTTTTTTTTTTTATTTTGGTTATTTCACTTATTTGATATCCTTCTACAGTTTCCCTTCCTCACTCTCTTTGTGTTCCAGCTCCCTGGATCACCAATAAGTCCTCCTCTGTTTGTGTTCTAAAAGAGGCAGTTCTAACTTGGAAGTCAACAAAGCATGGCATATTAAGTTGAGGTATATCTAAGCTCCTTTCTCGCATTAAGGCTGTTTGAAGCAACCAACTAGGAGGAATAGTTTCCTGGATACCAAGTCAAAGCATTAGGGAAAGGTTTTAATCCCACTGCCAAGAGTCTAACAAATAGTCCAAAATAACCAACTGTCATACAAATTTAGATGACCTAAGTCATTCCAGTGAAGAGACATCTAGTTCTATATAAATATTGTCCATTGCAGCTGGTCAGATTGGGAAGGAAAGAACTTGAGAAAGAAGCTCTGTGAAGGATCATATGAAGAATGAATACCTACATCTTAAGACTTAAGACAGAGCAACATAACTTGGGATTCATAAACCACATTTGCAGAGAAGTAAATTGTTCTCTCACTTCAGGCTCCAAAGCAGAAATATTAATATCATGCTATGCCAGTACTAAACATGATAATCATAAAATAAATTAGTTAACCACAACTTCTTATAACCAATAGCCCTTTCTCTAAAACCTTTTGCATTGTTTATGATAAGAAATAGGTGAAGAGTTAAATCCAGTAATAAAATTAAAATATTCTAATTATGACAAGTACAACAATATATTTCTATGCCCTGACTAGTCAATATTGTTTGAACTTTGAAATGTTCTTTGTATACTAGATAGGAGGTAGAAAGAGATCACAGAGAAGAAAGCATTCTTTACTCTTCTAGAGAACAAAGAAAATGTAAATGAAACACCAGTTCTCTTGGTAACCAAATTTTCTTCATTTCTGGAATTTTCTAGTTTCAGAGAGTTTACAGATACACAAAGTAGGGAAATTAAAAGGATGAATCAGGAGATCTATTAGAAGAGAACACTTACCCACAAAAAGCAGATTGTTGTAATTCTCCAACATCACATCCATGTACAAAGCCCTCTGTTCACAGTCTAGACATTCCCATTCTTCCTGTGAGAAGTCTACAGACACATCCCTGAGTGATAACAGACCCTGCAATGCAAAATTATCTATTTACCATGCACTGCTCTACAAAATGATTTCTTGTGTAAAAGAAACCTAATGACCCATGAAGTGATGGCACACACCTTTAATCCCAGCATTCAGGAAGCAGAGTCAGGCTAGCCTGGTTGCAGGATACCCTCCAAAGCCACAGAGAAACCTTGTCTAGAAACCTCCCCCATATCAAAGAGACCTAATGAATTAGAGAGATGTTTGTGATATAGATGAGGCATGTCAATTTTTAAAGGACATGACTTTTCTAAAAGTTCCCCATGTCTACCCTTTCAAAGACAATGTATAGGTAGACACAGTACGTTGTTTACATTAATTTCGTGTCTCTCCTCCATGAATATTCTGATGTTTTCTAAGACTTGAGTACCATAAAATATTGCCAAATGAGTAAATTTGAAAACTTTTGTCTCCTGTTTACAGTCTGCAATATCTTAAAGTCCTTTTAAGATTGCCAGCACACACATGGCACTACAAAACGAGATGTCACCTCAGATCCTTGAGATCCTTTGCTGCACCTTATAAGCAGGAGTCATACACACTACACATACTTTTTGGGAAACATATGGAAACACATAAAATAATGTTACAATTTAATTTTAATAAAGACACTTTCTATACCATTCAGGGACTATTGTACTTTTTTCCCTGTAAAAACAGGAAGGCATAATATTCTTGCAATCAGCAAACTTTTAGGGGATACAACACGCACATTTGAGCTCTAGAAGCAGGAATGTACCTTTATGAAATAAGTGCTGATAGCAAACAGAATCTCATTGTCATGTCTCAGATGCTAAGGGTATAATGAACAAAAGTGTGCTTTGAATTTGTATGCCAGTCAACTTCGCTTAAATATGAATACTACACGGATGCTGCCTGAAGCTGTGCTCACATGACTCTATTCCAAAATGCTCAGTTCAGACCCTGAGGCCCAGTTATACTGCTGCACACTCTCTAGAACAAAGAGGTTGGATTCAGAATGCAGAATCCATGGATAAAATAAAGTCAGTTTTCTCTTGAGTGTAAGGAGTGTAAAATCAGTGCTCTAAACAACATATAGAATCAAGTACTTTGTGAAGCTATTTCATGAGGAATAATTACAAACATGAACTAAACATTAAAGCAGAATTAGACAACATTAGTGTTATTTGAATTTTTTTTAAAAGTTGACACAAACAATTTTGAAAATAACAATTTCATGAATAACACTTCAGAATACTTAGAAATATATATGCAAAGAGAAGACATATGTAACCAATCAATCCGATGAACTAGAAATGTTTTCAGTTACCAAAACAAAAGTATGCAATAGAAATGAGAAATAATATAACTCTTGAGGAATTTTGAACATGTTATTGTTTATGCAATTAACAGAAATGAAAATTTAAACCTCTTCTTTTCAACTCTATTTTTCTTTTCAGTATTTGAGCTAATCCATCTAGCAAGAATTTGGCATAGACAGGTATCATTACGATTACTCCTTTATTTTTGAAAAACTAGAATATACAGTGTGATATAATGTCACAAGGCTCCACCAGCATGAAGACATGGCTCAGAGGTAAGAGAACCTTGCTGTTCCTACAGAAAAACCTAATTTACTTCTGTCTAAACACATGACAATAACTACAATGTATGACTTCAGTGCCAATGGTATGGTGCTGACCTCAGAGAAACAGGGGCATAATGCATCATGAAGTTTACATACAAATATGAACATGACACTGACCTGGGGAGCACTTCCCACAGAAGCATCCATTGTTCTTCTGGCTCTTCTCTGAGTGTCTTAGGAGAAAACTTGAGCTCTTGTTGAAATTTCACATCTAGATGTCAAAAATAGTAGGAAACACTATAAAATCAAAATATATAATTTCCTTTAAAGTATTTACTTCAAATATAAGGATGCAAAGTGCTAAAGGTGAAGGAATTTTTCAAAAAGATTTCCTGTGAAGAAAGATGGACATGATGACGTTAGCTAATAGAAAAGTTGATTCTATAAACATCCAAAACCAAGAGTATTAACAGATGAGCAAATGGTACATTTCCAGAAAGCTATGTGATCAAGATGAATGCATTTCCTGAAAATAGTTTCCAAATCTATGAAACATTCCATGACAGAATTGTTGGAAGCAAACAGACAATGATGCAGAGAAGATTCAACGACCCCATTAAGAACGAAGACTAGCACAGAAAACCAATAATGACTAGCAGGCTTGCAGAGAATCATTCATATAACAGACTATGCCCAGTCTTCTCAAACTTCAATCAGCATGCTATACCGTGGCACTTTCTTAGGAATACAAGTCTTCAAACCTACTAAAGATCAATGTTTAAAAGTATCTTCTACTAGAACCTCAGAATGCTAACAGTATCAGTAGACAGAAAAGAGAAAAAAAAAGACATAGGAATACTACCTAACTCAAATCATGATACCATGTTTTCATTCAAACATGTGAGAATACATGAAATGACGTTTATATTCTCTGAAGATTTTAAATAGTTTGTACCAAGATCTTTTTTGTTTGTTTGTTTGTTTTTGCACAAGAGAAAGACATTCTGGGAAAATCATCTAGAACTTCCCATGGAGCATAGATAAAATGTACTTAATTCTTGACAATAGGATAAACATGAAAAGAAAATATCAAGAGAAAATTCTCTTTGCCCGAGAATTTCATTGAGACGTGAGACCATTTCACATACTGTTCAAATACATGAATAGTCATTTTCCCAGGAGCCCTGAGGAGGAGCGAGGGAAACTGCAAGAAACTATTCTCACCCCCAGAACCCTCACTGCTGTAATTCCCAAGCAAGGAGATCTCTGCAAAATTAACTGTGAGCATGGCTGAGGCATTCCCACGGCTCCTACAAGAAATGCACAGTCACAGCATTGATATACACACAACAAACTCTGACATAAAACCGGTCTGGCCATGTGTAAATGGACAGGGATGTTTTCTTCAACAAAAAGGAACATTTTCTGATACAGGTGACTATATATATGCAAGCCTTATAATTTTCTTTTCTTTTAAACAGAGTATGGTGACTTTAAAATTGTGTGGCATGATATATTCTAACAGCATGTAAGTTGGCATTGTCTCTACTTAACAACACAGTACATGAAGACATGTTTCTGAATGTTGTATTTACATCTAAGACTGAGTATGATGATGATGATGAAAATTATTGGGATGTAAAATGTTTAATGTTTATAACCATGTGTGCAACTGTATGAAATATATTTTGTTTAATCATATCTGCATTGGTTCCTTGTGTCATTATTATCTACAAAGCTCTCTCAGGATGCCCAGTGTCAGGGACAAAGGACACTCCCTAGAAGAGGCAAGTGGTAAAACAGGGGTTTCAGAAAGCATGGATGAATTTAATTTACAGGAGCCCTGGAATTGCCACCATAATAAACATATCCTGTTTGCACACAACAGCCAATGCAAATGCTCTATGAGGTCATTTTAAGAAGTATTCCATGACAGAATCGTCTAGGCGCCATAAGTGAGAAAGAAAAAAATAACACACACTAATGCCCAGTTCATGGTATCTCAACCTTACCATCCATGGTAAGATAACGACAGAATATCAAAAGCTGTGTCTGTAATGGTAAGCAGGAACGTGGCCGGCCCCTGGCTGCTAAGTCCACACTCCAAGAGCAACGGGTTTAGGGTGAGCACGTCCCTGGGGAGGAGGATGAGAAGAGAAGGCCATCTGGAAGCAGGGACAGGAGAGAGGAGACCCCCAAACAGACAACAGGTCAGACAGCAAACCAGGACAGAGAGAGAAAACCGGGACAAAGGACACTTTTAAGGGGCAAATGGTGCACGGGGAGGCGCCTGGCTCATGGGGATGGAAACGATGGCACCTGGCCATAGGCCACGACCTGAGCCACCGCCTCCACAGCCACAGGCGCCAACGAAACTGATGGTATCCTTGTGAGCAGCTCAGAGGGCACAGTGCTGTCCCCCCCCCTTCCGTGGTCCCAGCACTGGGATCCTCTGATCTGGGAGGTTCCAGGGGTGCCAGGCTGTAGTACCCACCACTGAGGTCCTGATGCTGACTTTCCTAGGCCGCCCCACATGGACACTGAGGCTCAGGAATCCCTGTGGCACTCTGAAGGCTCTTCCTCACCTGGTTCCCTCCACTTGTATCCCACAGACCTTAAAAAATGGAAGAATTTCCCCCTAAGGCAGGGCAGTTCCTTGGAGAGGCTCCTCGTGGCCACGCTCATTAAAACTGGCTTCTGGTTCTGAGTACTGTAAACCAGCCCTCTGCTGGCTCATTTACACAATAGCTTTCATCAGGCACGCTTGCTGCACAGGCATGCAAGCTGCCCAAGCAACAAACACATCAAATCAAATCAAAACAAAGGAAACCGAACAAAACTCCAGAACCTAATGTAGCATGGACTGCTGGTGTCACTTTAATCTCAACACTCAACATGCAGAGAAATGTTTACCTTTTTTGCTTCTAACCATGTCGGCCTAGCAAGTGTGAGGAGCAAAAAACAACTCTATAATGAGCCCTCCACTTTAAAAAATGAGAAACAAACAGAAAAGAAAAAAACAACACAAAAAAGAAATGTTACTACAAATGTCTTTGAGGAAACGGCATGGCCAAGGTATTGCAAGCAGGTCTATGCTCCCCACCCCACTCACCAAGCAACTGGCAGTCAACTGTTGGCATTCACCTAATCAGACCTTCCTGCACCCACAGTGGGACCAATCAGAGTAATGGATATGCTTGCACCCACCAGAAAAGAACCTTGGATCACTACCCACCAGGAGAGGAAGACACCCCACCTAAACCACTGGAAAAAGGGACCGGAAGACAACATAAGAATGCATTCAACAGCAGGGTGGTGGTGGCACACTCCTTTAATCCCAGCACTGGGGAGGCAGAGGCAGGCGGATCTCTGTGAGACAGCCTCCAAAACAATACAGAGAAACCCTTTCTCGTAAAACCAGAAAAAAAAAAAAGAATGCATTCAACAACAGGGAAACCAATATGATACCACCAGAATCCAGGGACTCTATACCATCAAGACCTCAACATCGCAACACAGATGAAACAGAAGAGAATGACCTTACAAACAACTTCTTGAAGATTATGATAGAGACCATAAAGATGAAGTGAGAAAATCCTTGAAAGAAATGCCAGAAAAGACAAACCACAAATTGCAAGAAGTAATTCAATCAGTGCCAGGTTTGAAAGCTGAAATAGAATCAATTTAAAAAAATGTCTGAAGGAATGCTGGAATTGGAAAAGATGGGTAAACAGCAGGAACTACAGACTCAAGCATATCCAACAGAATACAAGAGATTGAAGAGAGAATCTCAGGTGTTAAAAACACATTAGGAAAGGTGGATCTCTGTGAGCAGTCTTTCCCAATCTAACTGGTAGAGCTCTCACTAGCTGACAAGGCCTCATTTGCATCTACAGAGACACTTTGGGGGTGGGGCCTGACCAAGTGGCAGTTGCCTGAAAAAAATCGACTGGCTCTGAAGACTTAAATCTTTTCACTTTTGGCCGGGCCGGGTGGTGGTGGCGCACGCCTTTAATCCCAGCACTCGGGAGGCAGAGGCAGGCAGATCTCTGTGAGTTTGAGGCCGGGCTGGACCGATAGCCTCCAAAACAATACAGAGAAACCCTGTCTCATAAAAACCAAAAAAAAAAAAAAAATCTTTTCACCTTTCTTTCTGGTAAGACATTACCCGACTGGCTGGGTGTTCCTTTTGGCTATATCTAAACCAATTTAGGTAGCTTTCAACTGTTTTTGAAGGGGTTTAAGTATCCTTATAATCATTTAAGCAGTTCACACTCATGCATTCACAATCATATTTCATATATACCAGTGTGGCCACACCATACATTCAGAACATACATGCATCTTTCAGTCATCCTTTTTCCCTAGGTCATGATTAGTCTGTTGAAATGAAACTTCCTTAATTGAAACCTATGTAAAAGAACAACTCCCTTACCAACCAAGAGAAAGATGTGTGTTCCAGTCAACAAAGCTGAATGGAGTTGGAGATGAGGAGTGATTTGATATCAGACTCGGTGATCCAAATTTGGGAGATTGTTCACCTGGCATTAAGTCTTCCATCTGTGCAGCATTTCCTCACAATGTTCCCTTCCATTTCTTTTGAAATGGCAACACATAGCCCATGCCATTATATGCTGGAAGGATGTGATGTACTAATTGATTTTGATAATTGCAATTAAGAGTCTTTGAACTTTGGACTTTAAAACATTGTTGAGACTGTGAAAGACTGTGGGGACTTTTGAAGTTGGACTACATAAATTGTACATTATGATATGGTTCCAGATATGTAGACCAGATTAGACATGCCTGTATAAGTAACTCAAGGTCCAACTATTTTGGTTCCACTCACAACCTTCTGGACTCATGAAAACAAATAGGGAATGGAGGAATTTCTGGTCCCTTCAGTTTAGTTCTTGGAGAGGCTTCTCTTGGCCCCACCCACTACACCTCACTGCCTATTTACAATTATTCTCTATAGTGGACTCTCAAGAGTAGCTAAAAACAGTTTGGTTAAAATACATGCAAATTTTTCCCTTGGAAACTTTTCTCACAGTATGAATTTCCAGATGCTTTCTTAGATCTGAGAGAAAGGTAAAGATGTTTGCTTGTACATTTGTAAGTTTTCTCTTCCATATGGACACTTGGGGTGATTCTGAAGACAAAGGTTTCTCATCCTGACTCTTCTGCTGGTTTGAATAGGTATAGCCCACATGAACTCATGTTTGAGTCCTTCACTCACAAGGGGTGTAGCTCTAGGAGGCGGTGTGACAC